TAACCCTTAAATCACTAAACCACATAACCCAGCAACAGATCCAGACTCCTCTTCAGCACTGCCAAGGATGGTGACTCTATCACCTCCCAGGGAAACCTATTTCCTGACCACCCTAAGAGTGAAAAAAATTTCTTAATAACTAATCTGAATTTCCCCTGTCTCATCTTAAGGCCATTTCCCCTGGTCCTCTCCCAGCTGGCACAGTACAGGAAACCAGCCCCCACCTCACTACACCCTCCTTTCAGGGAGCTGTAGGGAGTGATGAGGTCCCCCCTGAGCCTCCTCTCCTCCAGACTAAACAAACCCAGGTCCCTCAGCCATTCCTCATAAGACAGGCTTTCTAGTCCTTTCACGAGCCTTGTTGCTCTTCTCTGGACACTCTCCAGCACCTCAAAGTCCTTTTTATAGTGAGGGGCCCAGAACAGAATACAGGACTCAAGGTGTGGCCTCACCGATGCCAAGTGCAGAGGGATGATCTCTGACCTGGTCAAATTTGACCAAAAGTAGCTTCAAATGTTACTACAGTTTAGAGTCAGAGAGAAAGGCAATATGATCCCACATAACAGTCTCAGAAATCCACATGAGAAAGTTAACAGTTAATATATGAACACTAGGAACTCCTTTGTTCTCACTATCATTAGACATAAAACGGCATACCACAATTTACTGCATAAAATTAATACACAACTGACATTTTTGAATCTACGCTAAGGAAAAGTTTCCCCAAAAGACTATCCAAATGTGACACTAAAAGGTAAAACATGGTGGAGAACCTATGGTTTTTAATTGCTAGTTCAATTTGATTTATTGTCACTGTACTCTCCCATAGACATAAAAGAAAATGCAATGCTACCTTCTGTTAAGAGTGTCATCCAGAGTTTGTCTGGAGTAGAATATGGAAAACTATAGAAAATTTTTTAAAGTTTATGTATGCTCAAAAAAGTTTAAGTATGTCCAAAATATACACACATGTTTACTTACGTAGGAGGAAAGGATTATTATAAAAGTGAAGTTGGGGAGAGGAAGAAATATATATTATTACTTATTTGAAAAATAATCTATAAAAACACCAGCTGTTTTCCTGTATTTCAAATTTTTTTTACATAATTAGCTCAATTTTCTGCATTTTTACACAGTCAGAAATTCTGAATGTTCTAAACAGAAACCTTGAAACATTTAATTTTAAACATCTGAAATATTGAAGCATTTCATTTTTTAACTTCTCAAACTCAATCAAACATTTTCATACTCCTAAATCAAAATGCTACATTTTAGTAGCATATTCTACATTTAGAAGATATTTTGGATTAATTAAAGCTGGTATTTTTGCCTGCTTGAGCTCCCTCATTATAAAACAAAAGGACTGCAAATTAGCTTTCAGAGCAACTATGGAACGTTTGCACAAAAGAAATTAAATCTTAATAAAATGGAGGCAAGCATGGCTGCTAGACTAAATGCCAGCGGCATAAATCTGCATAATATTTAATATATATGTGTGTGTGTGCATACACTGTATAATAATATACTATTATTATTTTGTATATCACTATTCAAAAAAATCAATCAAGAATAATTCACTAGAAGCCTGAATTAAATGCATGATTTTGGCAGTTTCATTTGGAACCAGTGATATAGCCCATTCTGTGCAAGCACAGAGACTATGCAGTCGAATATAAAATTCTGCAACATATGAAATGCTACAACAGAGGCATTTAGCATTTCCAAGAAATTCAGCAAAGCAACGCCCATTGTGTGCTATGTACATCAGAATCAACAACAACCCTCCTGAAAAAGAGTTATGCTTTCTTGTTTCAGCTCCTATTACATGTTATTTGAAAGAACAGTCAGAAGATGGTGCCTAGTCTCTGTCTTTGCCAATATTTAATATAAACTTCTTCCATAAAATTATAGAGAATTCTCCCAAAATTATTGACCAACCTGGTGAAAGATTTTTCCCCACTGCCTCCATTAGGACTGTCTCAGACAGTGCAGCTCTCACCACTGTAAGAACCACCTCCCTTGCTTAAACATTTTTTTTTCTTTCTATTTTACACTCTGATGCATGTATAACCCTATCTTCCTAGCCTTTGATTCCTGCGCTAAAAGGGTGTGTTCTTCTTAGAAGCATCTCATAAACAAGCTCTCCACTCTTTTATGCTTCTAATACACCTTCTCCCCTCTTTCCATCTTCAGTTAAGTTGATCTTTCTTGAATACAGATATCTAGATCAGAGCAGCTGAGGTCTCATTAGAGCCTAATGATATTAATACCTTCCCGCAAATACAGTCCTGAGAGGCAAACAAAGTGTCTGTTACCATAGCCACGCCATGCACTAAAACCAGACTAGCCGATAGTCACTTTATTCATTTTCCCACACCCCTTTATTTGTCTCTGGGACACTGAAGTACATTGTCGCACACATTATCAACTAGCATGACAGCATGAACTATCACTGCCATCAAAGCAGTTGTGCTTGGCCAAACCACAAGGTTTAAATTCAGAAAGCAGCTGCTGCTGAAATCCACATACTGATCTTTGCTGGGCTACTGTTTGCATTCTGTGAACCAATCTCACCAAGTCCTAATAATTTACTGTGGAAAATGTGTGTCTCTTTCTCTTCATTGGGACCTGTAAGAATTCCACTAAGTCTTGGAAATTTTTTCGACCAAATTACAAATACACTTTGGAAATTTCTTCTACAGAACTATAAGTACTCATACCTGTACAGTGGCTACAGCCATATGACATTTCTCCTGTGATATTATACTTGCTATAGCTTATCTCTTTAACCACATGCCTAGGCAACTACTGATGGATTTTTGTTACATGAATTCCAGGCATGTAAGCTCACAATTGCTAAAATAAAAACAGTGAGGAAAACTGCCACATACCTCATAAATTCAAAACTGTAATGTCCATAGTTTTTTAGTGAGCTGTCCTGGTTTTGGCCAGGACAGAGTTAACTTTTTGCAGCAACCATGAGGTGGCAAAGCCTGGAGCTATGTGGGAGTGTCTGGGTTATCATATATTCACGTCATTGCTGGGGTGCACAAGTAAGGAATTCTTGGACTCCCAGAAAGCTGTTTGTGACAATAAAAGGTACTGGATATAAAAATAGCTTATTTTAATGAATTGTTACATAAAAGAATGTACACTGCTTTCAACTCATCAATGAAGCATTTAAGTCTGTACAAAGAAGGGTCCCTTATAAATCGTGTCCTAATTCATGACAGAATTTAAAATAAAGAAATAGAGAGACGTTATTGATATGCTTAAAAACATGAGAGCAATTATGAATCAGCATTTAAAAACACATTTGCGGAAATTCAAGTTTTGTAAGTCTGTTTAACAAAATCCAGCTGAAGACTGGACCAGTGGGTAGTGGTCCAGACTATTCAGAATAGCAACAGTATTCTCTAGTTGTGGGATAAAAAGTGAAATGAAAACACAAAATTTTTTAGGTAAGAACATTATTTTTTTTTTCAAATTGTCTTGTGCTGCTAAGCAATAAAAAAAAATTAGCTTCTGTAGAATCTTCCATAAACTTAGCACTAAATTAGCTATTCTACAAGATGTAAAACAGCAACTGTATGGCCATGATGGATAAGACAGTGCAGCAAATTCAGCTAACAATATAGCTAACAGCTCTTTGAAATGCGGGAACCACATACTGTATGATATAATGGGCATCACAATCACTTCCAGGTTTTGGAGTTCTTTTCTCAAGTATCACTGTTTTAAAGTATTTTGACAAAAATTTGGTTTTATTTGAAAGACCCTCTTTACTTCCGTTAAGTAAAATAACTTTTCTGTAGCTTTTTTGAGTGACTGTCAGAGAAACACCCAAAAGAAGTAAGTGTTTATTAAGTCTTACTTAATTATAACCCAATTATTAGCCCCGCCAAATCTTCCTATCAATTCCAAACAGGTGAATATCTCTATAACTTTCATGATTGTGAAGAATTAAGAACACTGGTGAAAATAAATGCTAATTATTTTCGCTTTAAAGGGGGGATGCAATGGAAACTATTTGGTGTAGCTTTGAAAAGCTTTTGCAATTCTATAAGGTTGAGCTGATGGTGATAGCCCAACTCCTGTGATTTTTGACAAAACTAATTAAGGCGTAGTAAGAGGTATCCCGCCAAATTATTTTTTTCGTTTTCAATCACAGAAGCTTCAAACTGGTAGTTGTTTCCAGAGATTAAATGCCATTGTATGCACCCAAGATATTTAAAGTCGCATATCTAAGTCTTAATACTGAGACCAGCAGGACAACATGGTGAAGAAGCAGTTCCGAATTTCAGTATCTCAGGACTTCTGCTTTCTGTGTTCACCATTTGCTCCTACTGTCATACAATAAAAGTCCTCTGAAGCCATGTGGGGGTAGCAGCAGCAAATCACCGATAAAATACAACCTGCAGAACCACCTAACACCTAGGAAGGATGACTAATTGCTGTACACAAAAATGTCTACAGCACAGGCCTGAGAACTTTATTGCAGAAATGTAAAGATGCTTATAGGGAGGACCAGCCTGAAGAACCCCCCAAAGCTTGACAAATCACATCTGTTTTCTGTATTATAGACTTAGGTCCATGTATCCTGTGATGGGTGAAACAGAATGACTGCATAGGATTTCTTCTTACATATCCCAAAAATCAAACACCAAGAGAAAACTAAAAATCCCAAATTCCAGCACACGGTCAGAGCCTAGAGCTGCTCTGTGCTGACTCTGAGTCATGCCTATAGATTCTTTTCTAGTTTAAGTGACCAGAACTACACAAATCAGAATATATAATAATATAGTAATAGCATGATAATAAATACATTAAGTGAGGGGGAAATTAATTTAATAATGCCCCTTTAGGAACCTTTACAGATTACAGCCTGAGTACAAATCCTCAGAGATACACAACTTTGCATCAGAACACACATTCTTACTAAAAAAAAACTTCAATTAACTTTGCTTTAAAGCAAATTTAGTCAGAGATTATATACATACCCTCTGCTTCTCAGGGTCAACATATCGAATGCCAAAATAGTCTTTTTCCAGCAAGCTGTAATAGTTGCAGATGTGATCGATAAGAAACTGACCCTTGGTTTCCCTCTGTAAAAAGATAAAGAAATTAAACATTATGTGAATTTGCTGTCTACAAATCTATGCAAAGTGTCAAGGAAAATGATACGTGAAATTTGTTGTTATTCAGATGAGGACAAGGATTTAACTGTTTATCGTCTCTATAAGACTCAAGAGAGTAATGATCAATACACTCCCTGCACATTCATAGATTGGTTAAGGAAATATCATTACTACTCCTACCTCAGGAAAACTCTTGCTGCTCTAATGGCTACAAATTTATGAGACTCAATATGCCACTAGCAATCATATTTCCACGGATGCTATAATGGCATAACATTTATATACAGAATTTCAAAACCCTTTTTGGTTTTTTATCCTCTCAAATTTGAAAGCAGATCTGAATGTGAATACTCTATTGGATGCTTACACAGTGCCCACAGCAAGAGAGGTCTGATCACTAATTCCCTCCATTAACTCAAAGCTACAGTATAAAGAGCAAATGCCCAAATGACTGAAAGAGAAGTTTTCATCTTTGTGGTGTCACTGGGTAACCACAGCCAAATCTTAGTGTTACACATGATATTTAGCTAACAATCTCATTTTTTCTTTCTGTTTTCTTCCATCTCAAGAGTGTGGGTTTATTCTCATTTATCTGACACCTAATATGGAGATCCTACACGAGTTTTCACATTTCTTCTGATCCAGCTAATGTGAAGGTTCATGTGGGTTTTTTTCTGAAATGTGATTTGTGTCAGTATTGGCATGGGACTAAAGCTGTTTTCCTGAAATAGTCCCTTCCAAACAGACAACGGTGCTTTACTACACAGTGGTGTAGGTCTCTACATTTTTTCCCTCTATGTGTTCACCCTCATCCTGCACTGAGACATCTCTGCTGCAGACCAGGAGCCTCTATCCTTTGCTGACATGAAACAATTTGAATTCAGCTCTTTAATGTCTACTGAATAGAAACTACACAGGACATTAAATCACTTCATATAAAAATACGGCTTAATTGTTTTACTCCAAACTACTTCCTGAAAACTTTAATGCTATGCCTTGTTCAAACTTTTTTTTAAGAATTTAAGAGGTACTTCAATCTGTAAAGAGCATGGCAAGCAAAATTGAAGGGACGGCATCTCTATATCTCATGGTACTTTACAAGGCTGGGTATTGCTAGCATATTCACTTTGCACAGAAGTAGCTGAGCCCAAACCAGCACCATGACCTGTCAGAGGTCATGCTCTAAAGGGCAGAGGAGGTGATAGCTTGGGCACCACCACTGTTTGGTGAGATCTACTGCTTCCCACAGGAAGCAGTAGACATGCTGAAGACTGGAGAGTTAGAAAATAATACAATCTGTGAACTAAATTTTTGTTCTCTTATCTTTACAATTAATAAGGAATTCTCATGTAGAAACAGTTGCTTATTTTTTGGTCTCCATCACTCAACAAACAGATAAACAAAAAACATCCTCAGTTAAGGCCCTGACAAAGACAGGCATTGCCCTTCTGTATGCTGAGGCTCCTGCAGACGTAACCTTGCCTGCCATAAGAACGTCCTCTCTTCCCAAATTCACTTCCAGCCACAATGGAATTGCCAATTTCTCTACAGATTTCCTTTTCCTAGGAAGAGGAGAAGATGTGGCAATCTCTGTTTCCAATGCTACTGTGTAAGCCATCTGATTCCCCTACTCCTATCTGTCTCCACCTTTTATCTCTTATAAATTTTAGTCCTGCATTCTTCCATGCTTTCCTACTTGCCTGGAGATATCTCTGCCTTGTCTGCACATGGTGCTCCTATAATGTTTTTTCGTATTTTCAAACAACCTTTGTCGAAGGATGTTAACACATTTTGTCTGTTCAGTTTGTGCTCATGCATCCCCATGTTTTGCACCCTGTAGTGTTACCTTTTCCCATGTAATCTAGATGCAACAGGTTTCCTTCCAGCCTCAAGACATAAAAGAATCAACTTGTTTACTGTTAAGAGTGGTTACATTCACTGACATCTCTTGGGGCTGTACCCAGTTACAAGTATGGGCATCCCAGAGACAACATAGAGAACACTTTTCTCAAAAGGAAAAGTCCTATCAAAGTCTGAAAAATACAAAAGGAAAACTGTCACTCTGCCTGTGGCTAACAAAAAAAACCCTCATACGCTAATGCAGCCATAGTTCAATTAACTGCTTTCTAACTTAAAATCTTGTAAGTGTCTGGAAAGTTCTGTGACTATGAGAGGCCATCAAAATATTGACAAAATTGCATGGTGACATTTCATCACAAAGGCAGTAGGGGCAATTATAAACACAGATGTGACATTTAAGTTGCATACAGTTTTCAACTAATCTACAGCAAATTAAATTGGACTGGGAAATAACAGCTATTAGATGACTCAGGTACAATCAAACATGAAAACAGATTTTACTGGCAACAGTGTACAAACAAAATCCATTTTTTAAAACACTGGAAGTGGGGAAGCCAGGCTATCCATATTTTCATCTGACAAATTTAGAGGGTGTCACTGTCTTCTGGCTTGTCTATATGATGCTTGTATGCGCTAAACCAGGACACATCGGAAAAACAGTCAGTAATACAATCTTCTACAACAAACTATTAGGGGTTGACTTTCTAATCTGTGAATTTTAAAATTTGCTTTTCTTCAGTCACCTAAATAATCACAAATTTCTGAGCTCCTGAAGAAACCAATAAAAGCCTACAGCACACATAATGTTTCTAAATCCAGTGACGCCGTTCTGTTTCAAAAAGGAATTGATGTCCTAGTTTTCTTCCTTGGAAAATAGATGATGGAAACAAACCAAACTAAAAAGAGCAAAAAGCCTCCAAGCTAGATTCATGCTCTAGCAATCTTTAAGCTTCCCATCGATAAATAGAAGGGACTAGTTAATAATTCATCCTTGGTTAATATACCCCCTTCAGTTCATTACATTTAAAAAAAAAATCAAGATGCACAAAAGTCGGCTAATTCAGCACAGGCATAATGTAGTGAGAGTCCTCATATGAAATTGTAAATGTTCCACTATTAAAGCCTTCTAGACACCTAAAATTTTGAAAAAAATAAAGATATATTAATTGATACACAGAGGAAAATACTTGATGTGGCACATTGCACATCAAGTCCTAATTCATAATAGATTGTATGACAAGAAGGATGGGCAGTGGCAGTTAATTTTATTTTCTCCAAACAGCAGAATAAATAAACATTTTTTACATTTCTCTAACCATGCTTAAAATTCTTCTGAGCTTTAGAATCTAATGATCTTTTTCTACACATTACTACATATTACCATGCTACAAAAGAATATATTAAAACACAATTTCGTTCTGATTCATGAAAGAATCTGGATAACACAAATTAAGAACAGCAAGTCATCCACAACAGAGAGGGGAATGGATTTGGGTCAGAGAATAATGAATATAAAACATTGCCTGAAATTTCAGACAGTTGCTATATAGCTTTCCAATTAAGTGATCCTTAAAAAAAAAAAAGAAAAAAAAAGAAAAAAAAAAGAAAAAGAAAGAAAAAGAAAAAAAATCCAAAGAAACAAAAACAATCCTTAAACCCTTTTATACAAAAAAGTACTTTGTAGCAATTCAGAAAAATCATTTTATATTACATTTTGGAATGTTTGTCAGGACATGAAAAAATTACATAATAAAGAAACCCATTATTTCCAATACCACTGAAGAATTTCAGCCACAAACAACAGGGATCTGAAAGTAATAGTCAAGTCATACACTTAAAATTTTCACAGTTCAAATATTTGAGAATTATACCACAGTTCACTCAGAAGTTATCCACTATCATCCATTAAAGAAGATATATGCAGGCAGAAGCAATAGTCAGAAAAGTCTGTAGGTGAGATATATGAAATATCCTGAATTGTAATCAATACATTGTGTTCAATTAAATAATACTATTAAATAAGCCACTTTTTAAAGTGTATTAATTCAAATATGCCTTTCTATCTTAAATGAGAAGTATTTTCATTCATATTTTTGTTACCCATGCAATGGCTTTAAACGAAGTCCTATAATGCAGATATACCGCACACTTAAAAATTTGGAGAATTCTATAAATAATTTGAGAAGTGGCTTTCTGATTTATTTAGATGAATAGGCACAGACAAGATGAGTATGTTTTTCCTATGGCTGTATTTGAATATCTGACCTTAATACTACTAAAATCCCACAACAAACCCCAACACATATGTAACAGATATAATACCATGTAAATGACAAAATCCCCGAACACACAAGGTCAGTTTGCAAATAACTGTTAAACACTGCTTTTTTTAAGCTGGATCAAAAGTTTTCATTTCCATTGAAACAAATATGTATCAAACTAAACTAGCAGCTGTGTAAAAGAATTAAGCAAAACAGGATGTTCTGTGCTGCAACAAGATATGAAAACATGATCACACGGAGTCTTCCATTGATAGGCTCAGAGGGCAACCTGAGTTTCTACCTCAGCTCTAGGAACTGAGTAACAAACTGGAGAATGCTTCATTCTCCCTACCAGACACTCTTATTACAGCTTCCATTTCTGCAACTCTGCAAATTTATGACTGAGTAACCTAATTCCTTGGTAATTTCTCTGGTATACAGAAACTAACCCAAACAACAATCTTTGTAGCTCTTGCACAGTTTAACACATTATCCCCATCTCATGCTTGCTTTGGGGATTTTTTTTTTTTTATTTCATCTATCTTGATGCAACTTAAAAAGCAAGGCAGAATGTAACTTGTTCTACCAATTTAACAATTCTCCAATGACATAAAACAAGATCACAAAATCTTTCTGACTGCTTCATAAAACCAAAAATGAGAGGAAAACTACTTATAACACTTTAAGATCTTACATTCAGTGAAATGTTTTCCCTATTTCAATTTGCTTTACTGTGGAGTTCTGTGTCTATTAATCTGAATGTCGTCACAAGGAAGAGCAAGAATCACAAGCAGATTAAACACAATGTTTCTGCTCTGTTATCTAACCACTGAAGTCCTGCCATCT